GTTATGCTTCATTTCGTAAAACCAATAAATGCTGTTCCTCATTCTACTCTCATATATCAGATTCTGTGGAAATTGTAGCAGGTACGAGATGTTTATAGACCCTCCATAAATGATTTTGGTAAGTTCACAACATACAGTAAAACACAATGTTCCTGCAATGTCAGTGTCATTTTGGTGCATAATGCAATAATAAAATATAAACATTTAAAAAAATTGTTTATGCATTTGTAATCGTAACACTTCATAATGAATATATACAAATTATAAATAATACTTAAAAGATCAGTGATTCCCTTTACAACAATGTACCATGGTATTGTTATTGCTGTAGTAATAAACTAATTTTTAGGTATTAAAATAACATCATAATAAATGTATACATCTTTCAGAATGTTTATCATTGTTTATTTCCCATCTTCCTAAGTAACATTGGTGGTTAAAAGTGATTTTAGAAACCAATAAATGGAAAATCTATAGAATTGTGTCAGAAAAGATAATGGTACACGGTACATTTTTCATTGAACGATTATGTACATTCAAATATGCACGTATGCAATTATTCAAATATATGAATCTGAATCATAAGTTTATCAGCATTATACAGTGCAATGCCTAATATTTGTAAACGTTATCGATGAAAGTCATTATATAGCTAGACCTTTTAAAATCGTATTTAATGCGTCTGTAAAGGAGGAATTCTAATCATAATCAAAAGTAGTAACTTAAAAGTAACGACTTCGTAATCATTATTTGAATATCGAACTTTTCTAAATAATGAAAATCAAAGGTCATGAAATATTCAGACATTGAAAGTATATAATAATCATATTAAAGTGTTTTTAAAAAGTGACCGACACTGTTTTACAGCCCTTGAAGTGAATGGAAGCATCATAGTGCATAAGAATATCACGAAACGCCAAGCAACTCAGCACATTTCTATTGTCTACTGTTTGGAACGTTTCAGTAGAAATATCATCAAAACTCTACAAACACCAACATGTTGAAGTACAGCTCAGTACAGTATCCACACTCATCTCAGTATGCCGTATAGCCTACAGTACAGGACACAGAACACACCGGCAGAAATGCCGCATCCGCACCGCAGCTGTCCCAGTCCGTCTGTTAAAAACTCTTTCAAACAGTCAATAAGGTGCGTGTCTTTTCTTACCTGTTTTACTGTGAATTCATAAGTGTGTGAAGATTTACCGCATTGTCAAAACAGTGCCAAGTAATATTACAGCCTACAGTAGGAAATAAGAGAAATTAATTTAAAACTATATCACCACATTAAAAAAGTATTTGAACATTTTAATCACTCTTAAAGGACGTTTTAAAGAAATAGGGCCTAGTTCACCCAAAGATGAAAATTTGCTGAAAATGTACATACCCTCAGGCCAGCCAAGATATAGATGAGTTTGATTCTTTATGGGAACAGATTTGTAGAAACGTAGCAATGTATCCCAATGGGTGCCGTCAGAATGAAAGTCCAAACAACTGATAAAAACATCACACTAATGCACAAGAATCCACACCAATCCAGTCCAGCAATTAACGTCTTTTTAATCAGCTGTTTGGACAAAATTCACTGCAGCGGATTCACTTGTAATGATACATTTTTCCATTGTTCTGATGAATAACCAAACTCATCTACAATTTTGGTTGAACTACATAAGACACTTAGTTGATAATGAAATTACATTCATTTAGCATGTTCCCAAAGTAAAATAATGCAGAAACAGGGTCTCTCTCTCTCGGTGGCATGTAAAAACAGCAAACATCTCACCTTATATTTCATCTAAACAGTGTCTACATATGCAGGGCAGTTTAACAGAATCTCACACTGATTTCTTGTCATTCCAGGTGCGTTTCAACAATGAACAAGTTGAAAGTTCAACAATGAACTACAGCAAAAATAAATAAATAAATAAAAATTCATCATTGAAAATTTTGGTTACTAGTGATTTCACTCTGAATTAATTTGATGGTTGTCATACAGATGATAGCAGCCATCCAATGACGTGTGCATTCAATTAAAGATCTAAATACTACTCTGGAACGAGTCTAAAGCACATGTAACCCACCTGCCTTTAAAATGTAATTGCACAGTTGATTAAATTAACATGACACTTGTAATAACTTTCAGGTGCCAGTGAAAGTATATAATAAATCTGACATGAGTGAAAAATTTAAGGGGGTCTGCATACTTTCCGTACCCACTGTAAAAACAGCAAACATCTCACCTTATATTTCATCTAAACAGTGTCTACATATGCTCTGCTCTTTTAGATTTGCATGTTTCTGTCTCTCCAGCGCTGTATGCATGGAATGCACTCATGCAGCATATACACATGCTGCAGGGCAGTTTAACAGAATCTCACACTGATTTCTTGTCATTCCAGGTGCGTTTCAACAATGAACAAGTTGAAAGTTCAACAATGAACTACAGCAAAAATAAATAAAAAAATAAAAATTGAATCATTGAAAATTTTGGTTACTAGTGATTTCACTCTGAATTAATTTGATGGTTGTCATACAGATGATAGCAGCCATCCAATGACGTGTGCATTCAATTAAAGATCTAAATACTACTCTGGAACGAGTCTAAAGCACATGTAACCCACCTGCCTTTAAAATGTAATTGCACAGTTGATTAAATTAACATGACATTTGTAATAACTTTCAGGTGCCAATGAAAGTATATAATAAATTTGACTTTTTCAGCTTCTATTGACTTTTGAACGGTAATGTGTGTATGTATATATACTGTATTCACACACACACACACACACACACACAAACACACACTAACACACTCAAACATACACACACACATCACACACACACACACACACACACACACACACACACACACACACACACACTTTTAAAATGTCATTAAGCTCCTTAAAATTGTGATTTGGGCCCATCCCTCCTCAGGGGTCATGACCTTCTATAGGCTGTTTCTAACCATTAAAATCATACAACCATACAAAATCATGTTAAATTGACCACAGAACAAAGCTTTTCAAAGTTATTTTAATCCTAAACTAGGTGATGATTCACACTTGAATCACGTTTTACACAATCACATACTGAGGGAAAAGATTAATAAGAGAAATGAGTAAAACTATTAAGCATGAATCATCACCTTTTCACACCAATATAACTTAACACAGAAGACAAAAGAGCACGCTGTAAAATGATCTTATTTTAATTTCCACACACATAATATTTAGCTGTGTTCTACATTTTGTGAGCAACTGTTACCGCATGATTTAAAAAATGTGATGTTTCATAAAACTGTGGTACCCAGAAGTTACTGTAAGAGAAATAGTAGAAATCTACATGATTTATATTTTCATTTAATATCACTTTTTTTGTTGTTCGGTTCCATTCAGACAAATCTCAACTTCTGGCACCCGAAATTTTCTTCACCTCATTTCATTACAATTTACCTTTTCAAAGGAGTCTGAAGTTTGATGTTGTTCCCTTTTGAATCTGAAAACAAATTCATAAACTTCCTGGCACTGACAGTGACTCATTTGACTGCGATGACAGGTGAGATCATGTGTGAGTGTGTTTGTAAATGAATTATCGGAGCCTCTGGATTGCGGCATCAGTGAATGTTTAATTACAAAGAAACCCACAGTGACAAAATAGGACAACGGTGTGAAATAAGCATGACGACTGTTACAGGACCCACAGACGTGGAGCGGCTTCTCTTCTCTTCTTTTAAAATACTGTAATAGTTTTAATTTAAACGAGACGGCACATGCCAAATGAGGAAAAATAAAATAGACAAAAATACTTATAAAAATATGCCATCAGATACATATGAACAATCGTGGACTGTGAGAGCACTATTTACAGAGAAAGGCAATATATACCAATATTTACAATAAACATTGATGACGTCTTTCACTAGAAAGGGCTGAGAGGGTCACTTACAACAGTAAGACTCGACTTAGGACTATCATCACTGATTGATTTAGATATTTGATTCAAAAGCAAAAAATGCAGACTCAGTTTATGAAAATATGACTCTCTGAGGATCCTGTTTGTAATAAGAAGTTATCTTCTGCAACGCTTTGGCATTTCTACCTGGGAGTTCTTGGCACTAGCGTTCACAACTGCTCAACAGATCAATCAATAAAACAAGCTTGCGAAATATTCATGAATTTCCATGCATCTGGGAAAAGTCTGACTTTACATCCTTCAGGTGAGTGGGAATTTGGGTGTGTTTGTGACTGACGCGGTTCTTTCCAGACAAACTAAGGCAGCTGAAATCGCTCAATTAAAAGCAAGTTCACCCACCTGATGGTGGGCGGCGCAGGCAGAGCGCTTTAGCAGTTAATTGTCTCTCATAAGTGCCCGCATGGAGCCGAAGGGCTGTAACCCATCTGACTTCATTCTACAAGTCCTAATCTACACACAGACACACTCACAAACAAGCAGAGCTTCTCTCGCCACTCCAAACTCTGTATGTCAAATTGACGCAGTCTTCAGCAACATTATATAAGAAATTCCCTTTCCTCAATTATTATAGTGATGAAAACAAGCATTGAAATGACACAGCTGTTGATCTGAGAATCTCACCAATCCTGAAGTTATATTTCATCCCAAAAATAAAAGAAATTTGCATAAAATAAATTCTATTTTTTAATTATTTGATTATTTTTAATATATATATATATTTATTTTAAATTTGTTTTTAAATTTTTTACATGATAATTCATCACATTTCCCCCAGATTCCAATTACCGTAATGCAAAAATATATTATTGTAATGTGAAAAAAATAGAGTAAATCTGTAAAGTACATACCAAAGTATTTGTTGGACTAAATTTAATAAAAAAAAATTGGAAGAATGAAAATGTATTACAGGAATGTGAATGTTTACTTTTTTGGGGGGAAATTGTGATGAAAACAAAAGACGATAAAAAAAAATGCTAAGGCTTTTTAAAATTTTCTTTATGCAAAATATAATTTGTAATTTTATTTCTTTTGATTTTGGGGTGAAATATGACCTGGATGTTTCTTTGTGAGATTCACCTGAATAATGTTTCAAAAATCATACAAATGCGACCTCACTGACCCAACTTGAGTTGAGCGTCGAAATCTTTCAGTAGAGAAATACGTCAGACTACTTTATTTATAAATTAAGTGCTATAAAAGAGACTTAACTAAAAATGAAAAACATAAATACTGTACAAAAGGATTTTTGTCACAATACCTATATATGGAATGTCATTGCTGTTCTTTTACATAACATTGTGAAGTCTTATTTATACATAAAGATGATTCAATAACCAAAAAAAATAAAGTGATAGTGTGTAATAACTCTAACAGTGAGTTTGATGATTACTGAAGTAGTAAATTGTGTGTGTGTGCGTGTCATATAGCGGTTTGTAGGTACTCTAGCCTTATATTGCACATTGGTTACGTAAGATTAACTCTCATCTCGCCCCGAACAACACAAACGAGAGCTTTAACAAAAACATCTTCATTCTCCAATGAAATCACAGTCTGTCAGGACCAGTAGTTGACCATAAAAGTGTGCGGACTGTCCTCTAACGAAGTGAAAGATGAAGAAAACACGTCTTTTTACTTTGTACGTCCATCCACATTACCCACAATCCTCCCTGCCTCATGTGATGCATTCAAACCCTCTCTCTATCCAACAATTCTTGCTTCCTTTCTTTTTTTACTTCACCTTTTCCTGCTTTTTCTCTTTCTGATGTCTATCTTTTCTTCTTCAAGGATTTTTACGATAATTTCATCCGAAAGCTGCTTTAAAGTTTCAACACAATATTCAAAAGCGGCCACAGGAAACACCACATGGCAAGCGAGATCAATATATTACATTAAGAAACAAAAATGACCCATAACACAACGTAACGACAAACAAACACCCCATTGGTTAGCGTCTTACACGCTCATGCACAACGCATCAGAGAACAGGAAGGGGCGGGGTTTCGGGGGGGAAGTGCGTGGGCTGGTCCAGCGGCTTGTGTGTCGAGGGGGCGGGGCTTCTGTCACACGCGCCACAGCAGTAAGTGGTTGGTGCTGTCGTCCCGCCCCATCGTCTCACTGCTATTGGTCAGTCTGAAGTCTTCATAGCCGTCGCCGCCGCTAATGACCAGCAGGTTGGATTTGACGGGCAAGATGATGGAGGCGCGCCGTTGGGCGGAGTCTCGTCTCTGCAGGCCTCCGCTGCTGCTCTCTGAGCTGTTCTGTGCGGAGTTCACTATAATAGAAATTCAGAATAAACACACATATTTGTCATCTGATGCCATTTTGACACATTTTATTGATAGCCTCTATTTCTAGACATCTGTCTTGGATGCATCCAATCACAAGTATTAGTCAGGCCTAACCAGGCAAGTTTAAACTACTTGATTGACGGGTGAGTAGGTGGGTCTTTTCTGTTGTTCAGGACGGGTCAGGATGCATTAATGGTTACACTACAAATGAAATGAGCGCATACGTCCCTGACCACCTTTGTAAATGCTTTGTGTGATGCAATAGCAAAATGTTTTGAACCAGTTTACAACTGCTTTAGCACTGACCATTTGAGAAGGCTAAATTAAATTAAATAAAATATTTGATATTCTTTTGCAGGGTCTGTTTTATGAATTTTTTTGGGTTGTGGGTTCGAGTCTCGTAGCGGCAGGGATTGTAGGTGGGGGGAGTGAATGTACAGCGCTCTCTTCCACCTTCAATACCACGACTGAGGTGCCCTTGAGCAAGGCACCGAACCCCCAACTGCTCCCCGGGCGCCGCTGCAAAAAATGGCTGCCCACTGCTCCGGGTGTGTGTTCACGGTGTGTGTGTGTTCACTGCTGTGTGTGTGCACTTAGGATGGGTTAAATGCAGAGCACTCATTCCTAGTATGGGTCACCATACTTGGCCACATGTCACTTCACTTCACATAAAATAAAATAATAATAATATAAATAAATAAAATGTGTGTATTAGCTAGACTTTTTTTTTTACACAAAAATCCTTTTATACAAAAATAAAATCCTTGCCAAACAATTACTGTAATAAAATGACAACAACAATTAAACAAAAGAAAGAATAACAACAGTTCATTTCAGCTCACATAAAAAAAAAGTAAAGCAAAAAAAAATAAAAAATCCATGGTCAGTTTTTAAAATATACTGCTACATAAAATAAATTAAAATTATATGAACAACTGATAAAATGACAACACATTATTGACACTGACGAGTCACAATGAACTCCTAATACTCTTATTGTACCTTTATAACAGATAAAAACACACAGAACAGATCAATGTCTGCAGGTTTCTGTATTTCTATAATGCATTAATGAACAATTTGGTTGCCAGATCCTCTGTTAATATTACCCACACTGCAATAGGCAGTGAGAAACTTACCTGATTCGGACGGCGGTGGGAAGTTGACGTCAAAGCCCTCTGGCAACTCAATGCACGTGAGGAAGCGGACGTGTCCGGTGTGTCCGTGGGCGGAGCCCATGGGGAGGAGGGGAGCACGCAGAGAGCCCAGCCCAGTGGAGGACACTGGTGGGATGGCCAGAGTCAGGACCACCCCTGCACTGGTGCCGATCCACAGCAGGTCCTTACACGCCAGAAGAGCCGTGATCCGCAAACACGCTGCTTTGTGCTGCCGGATAATGGCATCAGAGCCTAAAAGAAAAAAATGAGACAGGGATTTTATGAAAGCAGTGTTATTTTAGTACCACTGATATACTTTTATAGCTCAAATGACAAGCATTTTTAATGAAATGTGTAACTACCAACTTGTATATATATATCAGTGTTAATATTATTTGTATACTATTACAGTATTTATCAATATTTACAATTTTTCTATTTTCTGTTTTTATTTTAGTTAAAAATTTTTGTTTTTTAATTTAAATATGGCTACAGTTTTTTAAAACATTTTTATACACCTTTGCATATTGTAAATTAAATTAAATATTTTTAATACTTCCTTTTGTCATTAAAATGAAACTTTTGACATTTGAATTTTTGTGTTATTTTGATAACTGCATTAAAGTGATACATATATAATACATATAAAATCTTCATTCCTACTTTTGGGTAAAAACCAAGTGATGTAAAGTTTTTACACAAAATAGTGATAGTTTTGAACTCAGCGTCATCAGATTAGAAAATACTAGGCCTGTTTTGCTAATCAGCAGGCTTTTTTTCAAGATGCAGGACTGCGTTATTAATGCACAGTAAACAGTACCTGCAAGCATCTTGTGCACGGCTGGTGCCACGTCGACCTCCGTCAGGCTCTCGTAGGTGGAGGTGTGATAAAGCCGCACCTGAGCACTGCCCTGTAGAGCGATCCACACGCCTTTACCATAGCTCACCATACTGGTCACGCAGCGCCCACTGTCCTGACCCACCTGGAGTGAGTGCTGAAGACGACGTTAAAACACATCATGTCAAAATTGCAAAAATGATTGAAGTGCATGAATGTCTATTGCTGTTCATGAATGTGATGACAAGTGTATATATCGTTTGGTTATAATTGTCATATTTTAAATTTTTAATCTGCTGATGCCAATTGTCAAGTCCCATTTTAATTTTTTAATTTTTTATTTTATACAATACAGGTTGTTCCAAAGCAGCTTCAAAGTAATAAACAGGAAAACAACAGTTTTAATGGTGCAAAATTAATCAGTCATGAAACTAATTCAATTTAAGCTTTAAAGCAGCTCTACAGAAGACAAGTGTCATTATTTCGCACAATTTTGTGTCATTTCAGTTCAATAGGTGTCACTGTTGCAAAGTCATTCAATTATAAAACAAATTTGATTTCAGCTGTAAAGCAGCTCTATAAAATGCAATTGTGCCATTAGTCATCTCAATTCAGATTGAATGTTGATTCAATTAATTTCAATATATGTGTGGATGCTGCAAAGTTAGTGTCATTATTTAGTTAAAATGTTATTCTTATCTGATGACGTTAGTGCAGGTAAATCTATAATATTACTGAATATTAATTATCTTTTAACCCTTGTGTCAATTTTGACCCAAAGAGGATTTTCTTTTTTCTGATTTTTTTTTTATCGTATTGGACTAAAACTTACTGACTTTGCTCACAAGCTTTGATCAGAGCTTATGCATCTCAGTTTTTGAGTGAATATTGTCAAAATTATCCACAAATAATGATTTTTTTCACTCAAAACTCAGATCAATGGATCTTATGATCAATCAGTTCCAAAAAGGAATCCAAACCTGTGCTAACTTAAATAAAACAAGGTGACAAAAAAATTGAATCCAAGATTTGCTAAAAATTATAGCATAATGAGAGATTTACAAGCAATTTTTAAAAAGCCGGTCATTTTTGATCAAGAACACTAAACTAAATCAGGTAAAGGATTTTCAGCAAAAATGTATTTTTCCCCCAGACTTCATCTGCATGTTTTTGCGTCTGACCTCTTGTGCTAAAGTGCTGGTGTTGATGATGAGGACTCGGTTCTGACAGCCACACCACAGTTTTCCCGCCACAGGAACCATTTTGGTCACGGGTCCACTTGGAGAGCCCAGACACAGCGTTTGAGAGCTCTGAGGGTCCCAGAAACTTCCTGTCGTGCAGAAAAAGCACAGAGTTGGTGAAAATCGCTTTTATTGGTTGTAAATGAATCATTTGGAATGGATCTGAGCTCACCTGCTTCCCTCTGATAAACAATCACCTCCCCGTTTGCCAGGGACACAAACACTTTGTTGTCAAGATACCTGGGAATAAAAAAAGATGTTCAGTCTCCATGCCGACGTTGCATAAGTTACCATGGTAACAGATCAATGAGGCGGAAGCTGCTTACAGGATACACAGGATAGAGGCAGAGTGCTGCATCTTCATGCTGTTCTTCCGGTTTCTGATGTTGTCTGATGACTGGTACACATGAATACTGAAATAGAACAGTTATTATTACAACATGATTATGCTTATGAAATACATCATTTTTTCCTTGTGTGTTTATTGGTAATCACGAACTTAAGTTACACTAATGTTCAAAAGTCTGGGGTCAGTTTTTAATGTTTTTGAAAGTCTCTTATGCTCACTAAGGCTGCAATTACTTGATTAATAATACAATAAAAATGTTTTGAAATATTATTACAATTCAAAATAACTGTTTTCTATTTGAATATATAGTAAAATGTAATTTATTCCTGTGATCAAAGCTGAATTTTCAGCATCATTACTCCAGTCTTCAGTGTCACATGATCTTCAGAAATCATTCTAATATGCTGATTTGCTGCTTAAGAAACATTTATGATTTTTCTGTCACTCTTGATCAATTTTATGAATTCTTGCTGAATATAAAATATTACTGACCCCAAACACTTGAACGGTAGTGTATTTGGTAACACTTTACTTGATCTTTCCATACATAATGAATTATATATGTGTTGTTAATCTGGGTTGGGATTTCAGAATCAGTTTGTTAACATTGACTTGAATAGAAATGAATTGGCCCAAAAGACATTCATACTTCCATCTTACTCACAATACGGACACATGATCAACACCTGCGTAATGTCTTGATTTCAAAGGTATGCATTACAAAGGATTTTAACTGCAACTAGAACTATTTACAAAATAATATAATGCAGTAATATTATTAGGAATTAAAATGCATTATATATTCAGCCATCAAATCAAATGCTCTCTAAGACATCTGACTTGTTTTGTTTGTTTTGACTCTGGCAGTGAGGCAAGAGCAAATGCTGAGAGAGAGAGTAAATGTTTGCATGGAAAGTGACAGGACGCACTGAGGACACGGGCAGGTCTGAGCTTGAGATAATGAGAGTCTCATTATCCGAGTCTGGTAAACGGGTGTACTGTAGTCAGATCAGGGTTACCTGAGGTGAGAATTAAACCCCAAACAGAAGGAGCAGCAGGGGGGTGTTTTGCACAGTAAAATGTGATTACATCATTGCGTGTTACTATCGTTCATTTTTTAATTAGGCCCATGGGCTTTAAATGCTGTCTAAACACAAGTTTGAACACTTATAATAACTATCAATAAGTACATTAACAAACATTATCACATTATATAACAGATCATTAATTTTCCATTCAAACAGTCAGAACTGTCATGAAAATGAATTTTAAAGTTTGACTGATATAAATGTATTTTTACTTAATTTTTTGATAAATGTTTACACACACACACACACACAATAAGCATTTTAATACAGTTTTATTGTTATATGTTTTATATATATATATATATTTATTTTTCTTGTCATTACATTTCATATATATATATATATATACAGTATATATACACATATACACACATACACATACAGTATATACATACATATACACATATACATCTATATACACACATATATACATACATATAAATATATATAAGTGCAAGTACGTTTTTAATAGTTAAAGAATTTGCCACTAATATATTAAGTACTTTTGTGCCATTTGTGAATTTATATAATTACGGTTTGATTTATGCTAGTAAATATTAGATGAAAAACTTATAACAAAACAAAAATTAAATGTTGGCAACTAAAACAGGTTAATTTTAAGTAATTTTAGTATTTAAACATTTATTTCAGTTAGTAAAGCTAAAATAAAGCTAATTACATAATACAATGGCAATTAAAAGTAAAAAAAAAACTGAGAAGTTCATAAGCTAATGGAAAATATTAATAAATACAATAACGGCACACACACACACACACACACACACACACACACATACACACATACATATATATATGCTATTTTTGTATTATTTATATCATAGTTTTTAATTATATTAAATTATATTATTATTATTTTACATATATTAAATACAATCACATAAATATTACTAAAACAACACTGGCTTCTGTTTTTACAGTGGATTCTCTATTTATTGTTTTATTCACTAGTTTGTCTTGTGATAAATGTCAACACAATGTTCATAACAGAAAATAATAATTTCCCTACTTTTTCTCTGTAGGAAAATAATCATTTGATGTGAATTGCTCTCATGTCACTGTGCATTATTCAAAACAGAAACAGAGGGTTAGCTCTGATTTACCGAGCTTCTTCTTGGCCTCCTCAAAGGCCTGCTCAAAGTTACTGCGGGTATCAGGGCTGCTGAACTCAAAGATGAAGGTGGTCTCGGCTGAAGTGCTGGTCAGCTCTAGTTTAGTGGGGAGTAACGTCATGCTGAAGGCCAGAGACTGTTTATCTGCCAGCTCACGGTGCACTGACGCCATCAGATCCTTTATCACATCGTCCAAACTCTGACACAGACACACAGAAACTCACTTCAGAATCTTTCATTCATTCAACATTCAGCAAAGCAACATGCTATACTTTCTTCTAAAAGTTTCTAAGTCTATATTTATCCTAAATATGCACAGATATACAAACCCGATTCCAAAAAAGTTGGGACACTGTACAAATTGTGAATAAAAACAGAATGCAATGATGTGAAAGTTTAAAATTTCAATATTTTATTCAGAATACAACATATCAAATGTTTAAACTGAGAAAATTTATCATTTTAAGGGAAAAATAAGTTGATTTTAAATTTCATGGCATCAACACATCTCAAAAAAGTTGGGACAAGGCCATGTTTACCACTGTGTGGCATCCCCTCTTCTTTTTATAACAGTCTGCAAACGTCTGGGGACTGAGGAGACAAGTTGCTCAAGTTTAGGAATAGGAATGTTGTCCCATTCTTGTCTAATACAGGCTTCTAGTTGCTCAAATGTCTTAGGTCTTCTTTGT